GTTGATCGAAGGTTTTTGGGGGCGTAGCTTGAGCTGTAGCAGATCGGATGCACTTAACTTCAGTATCGCCATATATATTAGTAAGTAGTAATTAAATGCCGCTTTCTTGGTGATACTTCCAAGCAAGTTTTCTATTTATGCTCGGTTATCAATCGTGTTTTCCATGAAAATCGTTTCGAAGCTAGAAGCTATAAAATGTGAAGTCTCTCAGCTAGATAGTTTTGGATAGCTACGTTCCACATGACTAAATCCTTTCAGTAGAGGGTTGGCGACGCAAACGTCGCGTTACCTTGTGTTTTTTGTAGAGATCTTGAGGTTGTGGATTGGTTTGGATGTGGGTCAAAGACCAAAAACGAATTGAATTCTTTTATTCATACTAATGAAAGAAGAGAACATATTGTATTATTGTATCATCGTTACTTTCAATATACCATTCATTTATTTATTTAAATATTAGATAATCGCAATTAAAACAGAATTATTGTCGCCTATAAAGTAAATTTATGTATATTATTTTATAGAATATTCAAAGCAGTGCAAAAGTTTTCGAAACATGATGTATTGCATTAGCCCACATTGAGTGCATTTTGTTTAATTTGACCAATATCGAATAGTTCGCTTTTATACCGTTACAATTTAACGCACCATACGACTCTTTTAATGGAGTGCCGGATCAGAGTTGCCACCTCATCAGATCAGAAAAGCGGAAAGTTTGATCAAAAAGAGCGGGAAATAGCGGAAACAAAAATCGACAAAAACGGAAAGCTGTTTTTTGCTGACCTTTCACATTTCCAAGAGTTTAAGTAACCTTGTTTTATTTCTCATAGTACTACTTTGTTCGCAGTTCCACAACATAATAGACAACTCATAAAAAATATCAGGGCGTATCTGGCCTGAAACTCCAAGAAGAAAAGATAAACGATTTCCGGTCCAAAAATAAATATATTTTCTCTGCCAATTCTTTTTCTACTCATCTTTTCTAAAAGTGCCATACAGGGAAAATGTTTGTATCGTCCCAAAAATGTTCGTTTTGTAATAGTGAAATGGCCGTATTGCGACTGTCAGTTCACTATTTTTCGCAGAGAATATACCACCGAAGGCGGCTCTTTTTTGGCACAGCACTTTAAAAGTTTATGCAAAAAGATGCAATCGAAAAAACTGAAACTCATTTTTCAGAGTAATAGAACAAAAAATATATATTCCTTTCCACATATAGCCGCCGAATGCGGCTCCTTTTTGGCACAAATTAAGACATTGACCCGAAAAACGTACAATTCAAAAAATAAAACTCGCTTTTTACAAGTCTAAGAGGATAATGTTGTTCTTTACATTCAGCTGTCGAATGTGGCTATGCTTTCATCTATTATGTTAACAAATGAATAAGAACTTGAAAGAAATTTTCTTTTCTTCACTGGGATTTCAAATCCAGGTGAATGTATTTCATAGTGAAGGCCAAAATGAACACGAAATGTGTTTCACTAGAAAAATTTATTGAAAAATCTATTATGTGAAGCGAAAATTTTTCAAGAATTGTATAGAATTATACGTTAGAAAATTATTTTCCAAGAAATTTTCGTCTAACATCACGTTATCAGTTCTTGCATGGTTAAGTTTTCAATTAAACAACGAAAGTCTTTGATATGAAAAAGCGGAAGAGGTGGCAACCCTGTGCCGGTTATATGCATATATCTTTATTTCTTTCTAGATGTCTAAGGTTGATCGATATGGTAATCTTTCTACAACATTAAGTCATCAACAAGAATTTCCATCAAATTTTCAACTATAATTGACTGTCGATACAAATAGTGGCGGCACCAGTGAGGTGCTAGGGGAGCTGAGCCCCCCAGATATTTTTGGAAATTTTCTAGTGAATGTAATTTTTTCTGATATTAATAGTGTAGCAAAACTATTACTGCGTTGTAGAGAATTATCGTCAGTTTTCAATTGGTTGTTCACTTTACCTATACAAAACTCTCTTTTCCTAATCTTGCCTAAATCTGAATCATAATCTCTACAGATGCAATCTGAAAAACGTGCCACCTTAGAATACTATTTTCTTTCTTCTAACAAAAAAACGCATGTAGTGATGAACAATAAATAGAACCAAACACCACTATTTCATCATCTTTATCTTTATCAACACCTGAAATTCAAGATCTTTCTTGTTCTTCTTCGTTGTTCACGATTCAACATCTTCTCTCATATTATCTTCTTCTTTAAATGAAAATTCTCATAGAAAATCTTTTTCAAATGATATCAGTATGCCATTCAATGATGTACCGATTCAAAAAAAAGAAACAAAATCGTTCATTTCAATCTAGCTGGTTTGAGGATAGAGCAGGGTTAGAATATTCGGTACAAAATTATGCAAGCTATTGCTATCATTGTCGCCATTTTTCATCGAATCAGTAAAATGCCCATGATGCTTTCACTATCGTAGGATTTAACAATTGAAGGAAGGTGCTAGACAAAACTGTCGGTTTAATAAAACATGCATCATTTCAAGCATATATTATTGCAACAAAAAAAGTATTTGTCATGTAAACAACAACAAGAAAAAATTTAAATGCCTTAAAACAATTAGATTCATGTCGTCAAATGATAAGTTTTAGAGGCCATGAAGAGAATGAAAAGTGCATCGATCTAATTAGCTTTAGAAAGATAAGAGATTTCTTAGAGAATCAAATAAAAAAATTATTAGAGCTAATTAGTTATCATTTTCGAGATCTAAAGAAGAAAATTATCATCAATATTACGAAACTTTGAGAGCTTGGGGCTGGGGGGGGGGGGGGGGGGGGGGGGGGGGGGGGGGGGGGGGGGGGGGGGGGGGGGGGGGGGGGGGGGGGGGGGGGGGGGGGGGGGGGGGGGGGCGGGGGGGAGTGGGGGGGTGAATANGGGCTACGCCCCCCCCCCCCCCCCTCCCCACATCTAAATTCCTGGCACCGTCGCTAGATACAAACTTGATGAACTTAACAAGAAATACATTATAGTTATAGATGTCAAATGAAGCACAATAACAAGCTTAAAAAGCTAAATGAAGAATGCATTATATTCATCCTTATTTTACTAATCGAAACCTTTCATTTACTTTTGGAAAATTCTTCCATATATGACAATCAAATAATTATGCCAAACGATATTTTCATTTAATGACGTTATTGATGAGTGGCAGTGATCGTGGTGAGGAATCGAGAAATTTGAACCTAAATTACAGAT